ACTACGGCTTCCTCAAATGGGTTTGGGGATCACATAATTGCTGCTAGTACTGTCTAAGAAACAGCTCACAGAAGTTAGAAAGGGTCCTAGATTGGTGTCCACGAGTAGCAAGCATAAGCATAAAATCCATATAGATTTGAATCCACAATTACATATTAGGGGGGAAAAAGCCCAACAAGCCAGTCAGTCTTCATAATTAAGAGTCAGAAGTAGCAGACAGCAGAACGAGACTTCCAAGAACTTCAAATACTCAATTATTTTTATAGTAATAAATGTCTTAAACTATTGAAGAAAAATTAAAAGAAGCTTGAAAACAGAGAAGTACAATATTACCTAAAAGACCAGATAAATCTGGGAATAGAAACACAACTTCTGGAAATGAAAATATGTTAACTTAAATATAGACAAAGTTAAAAAATATATGAGATTAATTTGACACAGAGGAGAAAAGAAAGTGATGTGGACAATTTAACTAAACAAATTACCAAGACTATAGCAAGACACTTTAAGAAATAAGATTATGGGGCTGAAGAGATGGCTCAGCAATTAAGAGCACTGGCTGTCCTTGCAGAGGACCCAGGTTCAGTTCCCAACATACTCATGGCAGCTAACAACTGTCTGTAACTCCAGTTCCAGGGGATACGATGCCCTCTTCTGACCTCCACAGGCATTGTGCAATATGGTGCACTTACATACATGCAGGCAAAACACTCATACACATAAAATACAAATAATAAAATATTTTTTAAAAAAAGAAGAAATCAGATTGCAAGCCAAGTGGATGGCACATGGCTGTAATACCAGCACCTGAGAAGTGGAGGCAGGTCAGGAGACAAGGACCAGCCTTGGCCAACTACATGAAAGCTGTCTCAAACAAGGAAAAACAAAATGTCAATAAAATTACAAAACTGATCGTGCTGTAGAGAGACGAGGGAGAAAGATGGCAAGTTTGATGTTAACGCAGGCTACACAGAGACCTTGCCTTCTCACCCAGGACGGGGGGTCATGGTTAGATCTCCAGTACCTGCTCCCCACCTCGGCACACACGTATTTAAGATCTATGCTTTCTCAGCATGTAAATTCTACTGTATCAAAAGGAAAAACGCAGGCAGCTCTTGAGCTCTAGTTAATAACATTGAAATAGTCAGAGGCCTGTATTTACTTTGAAATGCATAAAAAAAATTAACAGGTGAGTAAATGTGATTAAGCAATTAAATTATATTTGGGAAAAAATTCAGCAGGCAAAACTAACCTATGAGGATGAAAGCTAGAGACAGTTAACGTTGACAGCAGTTATTTTAAGGGAAGCAATAAAAACTTGCGGGGTGCTGGTGATATCGTCTTTCTAGATGTTAGGACACAAGAATGATTTGTGTTCTTTTCTGTGTGTGATACAATTTCATTAAAAATTGAAAATGGGGCTGGACATGGTGGTCACACCTTTAATCCCAGAGGAGGCAGAGCCAAGCAGATCTCTGTAAGGTGGAAGCCAGTCTGGTCTACCAATAAGTTCTAGATCAGCCAGGGCTACATAGTGAGACCCTGCCATGCCCCCCCACCCCCCAAAAAAAGAAGATTGGGGGGCGGGTATGGGCACTAGAGCATAGCTCAATGCTACGTGAATGCCTGCCTCTAATACACAGAGCCCTGGGTTCAATTCCTGGTAATCCCAGCACCCCAGAGATAGAAGCTGGAGGATCAGAAGTTACATAATGAGTCTGAGGCAACCTGGTATACACAAGACACTGTCTTAAAAAAACAGGAGGAAGAGGAGGAGGAGGAGATAAAATTAAGCTATTTCTGGATAAACCTGAAAAACACATTAAAATTTTTAAGGGCAGGCGTGGTGGCACACACCTTTAATCTTGGTACTTGGGAAGCAGAGGCAGATAGATCTCTGAGATCGAGGCCAGCCTGGTCTATGTAGCGAGTTCCAGGTCAGCAAGGACTACAGGGGACCTACTGTCTCAAAAAACCAAAGGAAAAAAAAAAAACCTTTATAGGACAGGCCCTTGTCATGGTGCCCAGTGTAGCCTGGAATTTGTGATCCTCCTGTTTCAGTCTCCAGAGTGCTGGAATTACAAATGTATAACATCATGCCTGGTTCACATTCTTTATAGGACCTCACTGAGGGACTCTGAAAGAAGAAAAACAACTCTACAAGGAACATCTGACTTCTTTTTTTTAGTGAATATTAAGTATTGGTAATGTGAATACATTAAAATCACTTCCATTTTACTGATGGGGGAATTGACATTCAGATAGACTGACTGGGGATCACAGCTGAGGTGGGATTTGAAGCCACAATACTTTGGTTTAGGAGAAAAACAAAGAGTTAATCAGAAGAAATAGATCAAAAACATATTTCTCCCATGGCTATGTGCACAAAGTACACAGTAACATACAATACCCTTACTGCAACTCCAACACAACTCAAGGAGCTGTTTATTAAAATGTCCTTGGTATAGGTCAACAGCTTCAACTCAAACTCTAGTCTAACTATGGGAGACAAAACAATGTGGTTGTGTATAAAGCTTTTCTTTTATAATACAGATTCTCCTAAAATTAAATACTAAATATTTTGTATACAGATAATTTTCTAGGGTCTCAAATCCAAAGAACCACTAACTTAAAGTAAGCCTTCAATTAAAAAAAAAAAAAAAGATTTATTTTAAAATACGTATTTCTGTGTGGGTATGTGCACAAGGGCAGGTGCCCAAGGAGGCCAGAAGAAGGTACTGAATCCCCTGGAGCTGGAGTTACTGGCAGTTGACTGTGATCCACCCAGTGTGGGTGCTAGGAACCAAACTAGGGCCATCTGCAAGAGCAGTACTCAAGTGCTCAGCCATCTCTGCAGCCCTGATCTCCAATCTTTTAGAGAACTATTTCAATTCCAACAATTTTTTTCATAGATACCATTTGATGACACTGCTTCTATTATTAAATTCTGGTTTTGCTTAGCATCTATGTGCAACTCCACACTGTGAAAGGAGCATTTCCTAACTCAGTCCACAATGAAGGGAAGGATATGAGCAGCTTTCACAGGTTTTTACAGTATCAAAAAACCCTACAGCAGATATACATATATGTATTCCTGTGAACTTTGTACACTGCCACTAATTTCTTCATGGAGAAAACATTAAAAATAGAGGACCAACCTCAAATTTCTGTAAATTCATTAGCAAATATTATTGTAGGAAGTGTCTGGTTTGTTATTTCAGAGGTTTGGAGTTTTCCAAAATAAAAATTTAGTTACTAAACTCAGTTGAAAGAATAACATTCTTTAGGAAAAACTCCTGAACACACTCACGTATCCAAAGACACAAAAACATTATACTTGAAGCCATAAGCTTTTTAGTACTGAGAACTAATCTTGGATGACAGTCATGATGGAAGGCTTCCTTCATAAAACAGAACATACTTTATATATACGAAGGCACAAACCAGTTATTCCAAATTTTAAACAAGTTATGTTAAATTCTCAGTATGTCTGTTTCAAAGCACACAAAGAAATCTCATATTTGGTAAATAAAAGAAACTACTTTTGGAAGTCAATCATGAAAAAGGAAAATCACTCTCACAAATATTTATATCTTAAAACATATAAACTGAGGATAATGTAATTATATAACATCTTTTGAAAGTGTGGAAGTTTTATTAGAATAATAATTCTAATTATTCTAATTTTTTAACCTATGGAACAGTAAATTATTGCAATTTACCTAGCTCACTCTCCCATATCATAAAGATGAGGCTGAGGTGCTCTATGTGCCTGCAGTCCCAACTACTTGGGTGGCTGAGATGGGAGAAGCATTTGAACCCAGGAGAATGCAACTAACCTGGGCAACACAGAGACCCTGCCTCTAAATAAATAAATAAATAAATAGGACTCAGAGAAGGGAAGTGGTTTGCTAAAGACCTCGGTTACTACTATGAAGGAATAACTCTTTCAGGAGTTTGACTTTACATCTAGAACTTTGGCTTCTGAATGTCTTACCCAATAATTTAGGTGGCTAGTTATAGCTCAGCCATTCCTTAGCATCCATGAAGGTCTGATTCCAAGAACTTGTAGATACCAGAATCTGTGCATGTTCAAATCTCATACAAAATGATGGAGTATTTGCATAGTAGCCTGAATACATCCTCCCATTCACTTAAATTATTTTAGGTTACTTGCAGTACCTCATACAATGCGAATCTTATAAGCAATTGTTATACTGTATTGTTTAGGAAATAATAAGTAGAAAAGTCAGCACAGACACATAATCTTCAGGGACAGGGGGCACTAACACAGTGGGCTGACTGTACTATGGAATCCTATTCTCCTTTGGGGCCTTTTCAATGCAACACTTTTAGCGGGGAACCAACTCTCTATGTATCATTATCATTATCATCACCTGTACTAAAAGATTCACTCTTAGAGTGAATGTTAAAGTCTTCTTTGCTACAGCTAGCTTTTCAATGCAATCTTATTCATAATTCCAATGTAGAAAGGACAATAAAAGCTAAGCTGCTTTGATTAAAACAGAACCTCTCTGACTCACAACTTTGAACCTTAAGCCCCCAACTAAAGCACTTCTGTGGTGTTCTAGGTCTCAGAGAAAACAGTTTAGAGTGCCTGACACTATTACTCAAATCATGGTTCTTAAACCATAAGCACTATTGGGGAGCTATTAGAGATGGCCACTCTCAAATTCCAATCTACAGAGATTAAATGACAACTGTATTTACTGCTTGTTACACATACTAATATTTACTTGTCACATACATTAACATTTGAAGCTTCTCAAAGGACAGCAAGAAAGCATAGCACATGCCCAAGCTTTTATTAGTTGCACACACAACTACTCTTTGTCACTCAGTAAGAGTTATAAATCACACTTTGGAAAATAAAGTTCAAATGAAACCACACTTTGGAAAATAAAGTTCAAATGAAAACCAAATCTTAAAGGATGTTCCTTATCAGATTAGAGCACCTATACATTAAGTTGGAAACTTGCCTCTTATCAAAGTATGTTGAATTCTCTTTCCTCTTGGTGAATCCATTGGGTAGAAGTTTTAAGTTAATACCCTGCTTTCGGGCACGATTTTTCATAAAGTACATCTAACAACAAAACCAAACAGACAATTAATTTCAAAATGCTTTACATTTCATAACTGAGTGAAACTATATTCAGTAAGTTAAGATTTACTGAGTAAAGTATTCTAAGCAGAATCTTACCAAATCTTTACCACAAAGCTATGAGCCAGGTGTGGTGGTGCACACCTTTAATCCCAGTTCTCAGAAGGCAGATGTAGGCAGATCTCTGAGTTTGAAGCCAGCCTAGTCTATATAGTAAGTTCTAGGCCAGTCAAGTTTATAGTATACTATCTCAACACTACCCCCAACCAAACAAAACATAAACTGTAAAAAAAATAACACCATGCAGTACTTATATTATCAGCCTATTTCAGCATTAAGAATTAATGAGATTCCAGCATCACACAGCTGTGACTGACAGGCAAAACATGAATTCCAATACAGATCAGTCTAATTCCAGAGCCTGTACTTTAAAGCATATGTTCTATACGTCAAAGTAAGAATTTCAGAGATTTTTCTTTCACTGATGGTGTTTTATGAGTTGGATGCTTCTTTGATTTTATTCCTAGAAAGGATGCTCCTAAAGGACAAAAACTTGGTACTTCTCAGTGCAAGGCCTAGTTTGAGTACTCACTGCTGGAGACGGTACAAAATGGGCTGTAAAATACCTGGCTCTAGCATGTTACTCTACTCACTCACTACCAGAGCTGGCTGTAACTCCAGAGAGCTACAAAGGATATGTTATCACCTACTGAGACATCTGCTGAATCAAGGAAGAAAAATGATCACTCAAAAGGCAAGTCAACTTTTCTGGTTAAGTGAATGGGGACCTAAAATTTGCAATACAAAGTTAGATAATCAAACCAATAGAAAGGAGGGGTCAGCAATCACTAGCTAAGTAGGGAAATGACAAAAAAATTATATGTAGTTTTGTAAGTCAGCAGACTTTGGTTTTAATAACAGCAGCAATGATTATAAGGATGAAGCCTCCCACTAAAAACACCTAAGACTGCCAGACAATGGGGGGGGGGAAATGCATATATAAAAATAAATATATTTTAAAACTGTCTAAAAATATTTTCAAGTTGGCAAAAAAAAAAAAACCCAACCCAAATTATCAAACTTGCTCAAAAGAGAACATAGCTATGACACAAAAGACATATCAAAACATGAAAATAAGTGGAAAGGAAAATGAAAACACACCTCATACAAACACCATGCACTGGATCCAAACAATTTTATTAATATTGGGCAGAGTAGACAAAACCTTAGAGGCAAAGAAAGGTAACCTCATAAAGCCAAAGATTAACTACACCAAGACATAACTCCAGATGTATGTGATTCAGCTTCAAAGTCCATGAGGCAAAACAACTGAACCACAAGAGAATCCAAAGTCATTTTGATTTTACTTTCCAGGACTATTAACATACCTCTCTTAATAATCAATAGAATTAGGGAAAAAAATATCAAGCAAGCAAAGTTAGAAATGATTGAAACAATCTGCTACTTAACAAATCTGACCTACAGGAAATATGCTTTTGCCCCTCAGTATCTGTGGGGCACTGATGGATGCCAAGCTTTACGTCCTTTATTTAAAATGGCATAATATTTGTGTATAACATTTGTATATTCTTCTATCTATTTTAAACAATCTCTATGCTCAATACTATATACATCAATAGTAGTTATGAAGTAATGTTTAGGAAGTAATGACAAGAAAAAGTCTGTATCTGCTCAGTATAGGAATTTTTTTCCCAAATACTTTTGATTTGTGGTTGGTTGAATCTGTACCTGCTGGAACCCCACATACACAAAGTGCCAACTGTTTAGAATAAACCCCTATTTTTTTTAACAAAGGAGACAGACCACATGCTGGGTGAAAATCAAATCTTTTTATTTTTGGTCATTTGAGACAGGGTCTTCCTGAAGCCCTAGCTGGCCTGGAACTCACTATTGAGACCAGGTTGACTTTGAACTCACAGAGATCCACCTCCCTCTGCCTCCGGAGTGCTAGGATTAAAGGCATGCGCCACCACGCCTGGCTGAAAATCAAGTCATATATTTTAATAGAATGAATTCAGGAGCCAAGGGTGTGGCTCAGTGGTAAAGGGTGAAAATGTGTGCTTAGCATGCACAAGGCCCTGGATTCAATCCCTAGCATGGAAGTGGGAATTAATTCAGCGTGCCATCTCTAACCACAATGTAATTAAGCTAAAATAAGGCATCTAGAAATTCTCCCTGAGTTTAGAAGTTAAAAAAAACTTATCATTTATTCATGTATAAAAAGGAAAAACCTCAAGGAAAATTTGTATTCGTTTTGAGACAGGGTCTCACTATATATCCCTGGCTGGCCTGAAACTTGCTATATATATAGACCAGGCCCATCCTCGAACTCAGAAATCTGCCTGCCTCAGCCTCCCGAGTGCTGGGACGAAAGGCATCACATCTAGCTGTATTCTTCCTTAAAAAAAAAAATGTAAAGAATAGAAAATTTAGATCAAACGGACCAATTTTTACAAAAATATAATCTATGAACAATGACTCATTAAATACAGATACAATGAAAATGAAGTTTAAAGAGTCAATATTGTAAAGAAAGTAAACTTCCCAAATTGGTCTGTAAAATAAATTCATCCCAATCAAGACCAAGGAGGGAAGGGAAATTATATATGAACAGGCTGTTTTTGAGGATTCATCTAGAATATCAATGAACACAGAGATAATCTAGGAAAAAGAACAATGTGAAAAGATTTACTTTATCAGACTATAAAGGTTGAATAAAAAGCTGAGAGGCTAGACAGAGGTTAGTGATTTGAAAAATACAGGAAGACACAGTTCTGGTGTTCATGAACATCGAGGTGCCTACAGTTAACAATAATTTACTAGATTTTAAACAGCTGGAAAAAAGAACATGGAATGGCCCAACACAAAAAACGATCAGCGTCTGAGAGGACAGATATACCAATTACCCCAATTTGAACCTTCTACGACTATACATGCATCAAAACACTGGATACACATAATTGTGTCCATTAATTCTTTAATTACACAAAAACCTAAAATAATTAAGAGAGTGTAGTATTGATGCAAGATAGATAAATGAACCAACAAAACAGGCAGGCCAGAAACTGACCTAAGCACTGATATGTGATAAAGATGGTCCTTTCGGTATATAGTCATTATAATCATTACACTATATTTCTATTTTATTTTTTTATGCATGTTAGATTTTATAATAGAAAGGAAAAAAGCTATTTCCCTTTAAGGAGAACTAAATTAGGTTTAATTTAACCTGAGTAATAGTTAAGAGTTTATCCATGATAACTTTCTTTCTGTATGTGTAATGTGATATCTAGACCAGCAACACTAAAAAGATGCTGCCTGGCGTGGTGGTGCACACCTTTAATCCCAGCACTCGGGGAGGCAGAGGCAGGCGGATCTATGTGAGTTCAAGGCCAGCCTGGTCTACATAGTGAGTTAAAGGACAGCTGGGGCTACAGGGAGACCCTGTCTCAAAAAGACCAAAAAAAAAAAAAAAAGGTATTAAAAATTATAACTTCTACATTAAATGGCCCCTGACTTAAATCACATTAATGAATTTCTAAAATAACACCAGTTACACAATATTTCATAAGTATAAGCTTTAAATTTCCAGTGTTTAAGGAATGAAAAGGGATTGTAAAAGCAAGAAAATTCAGTGTATTAGAACACCGAGCCCTGTTAACTCTTCCATCCAAAATGTAATTTCATCACTCTCCAATTATTTCTACCAGTGTACCAAGCCACCCCCATCTCTCCCATGGGACAGAGCCCACAGCCTCGCAGCTATTCTCTGGTCTTCCGGTCTGCCACTGTTGCCTGACACAACCCAAACACCAAGACTGCTCTTTAAAGAACAAGCATGCTCTTACTGGCTTCAGTCACCTGGCCCCTCCTAATTCCTCAAACATACCAGTGCCATTCCTAACTCATGTCTTTGTGCTCTGTTCCCTTGTTCTTGTGTGCATGACAGGGTCTTTCTATGTACTCCTCCTGGGCTCTGGGATTATAGGTTTGTGCCACTTTTGCTTTAGTCTGTACGTAGGAAAGCCTCCTCCAAATGTTCATGGACTATCTCTTCCTATCAAGCAATTCTTGACTGTCACATTGAATACAGCAATCTGAATACTCCATGCCCCTCAAACACCACTCACATTCTCTTTAATCTCTTCAATTTTTATATGCACTTAAATGTATATGAAATTACATATACCGTTCTATACATCCTGATGGCCCACTCATCTCGTCTGTCTTCCACGACAATAAAAAGGGATAGCACTTTGTTTTCATCTGTCACTCCTAATCAGAATAGCCCCAGATTTTGGTGGCCACTTAATAGAGCTAAGAAATAATTAACTGATTGGAAGAAATTCTAACTAGAAAAGATAAGAAACACTTACATGTTTGTTGCTTGTTGGTCTTTTTAAGGAAGTATCTCTTGAAATATGATCTGCTGTTCTTGCCACATCTTCCAAAAATCGATAATCTAAGAATTTCAGAACAGAAAAATCAGAATGTGACATATACCAGTGGCCAGGAAACATTAATCTGCTCTGCACAAAATGACTTACCACTTAGGAGATTCATTTCAGTAAACTGCTGTATTGAGACATAGGCAGTTTTATCTCGAATTCCATTGCACGTCAGCTCTGCTTTGTGCTTCTTTACACAAGGCAAACTAAAGAAACAGAGGAAGCCCTCTTACATTTTGAAGGAAGACTGCACAGGGAACAGTAACATGGTAGGAAGTTACATACACACCTGCAGGAGTAGCGCATGCAGCGCGGACATCTGTACTTTGCTTCTTCTGTACCACATGTTTCACACCTGCAAAAGTGCACATATAACTTTTATTATCAAAAGTTAATTCTACTTATCTATAAACTACAAATGTTGATTCAATGACTTTTTACAACTTATACGCAGGTAGCCAGAGAGTAAAGTATATAAGCTGTTATCATTTGAAAATTCCCTCTGAAAATGTTTCCCAGCACCACTAAAGAAAACAATATACATTAAAACAAAAAAATAATCATCTCACTTTTGACTTCTTTTTTTACTATAATTAGAGAATGAGAGAAACCAGCCTTCCCAGTGCTGGGACTACAGGTGTGTGCCACCGATTGGCAAAATCAATGGTTTAAAAGTTTTTAATTCCTGTGTACATCCAGAAGTACAATCGGTGAGCTATGTTTGGGTATTTTAAAATATGAGATGGCCAAATTTAAAGAGTGGTAGTAATGCCCCTCCCCTTTTTTTGGTCTTTTTGAGACAAGGTCTTCCTGTAGCTCCAGTTGGCCTGGAACTTGCTATGTAGACCAGGCTGGCCTCCATCTCACAGAGATCCACCTCCACCTCCCAAGTGCTGGAATTAAAGGCATGTGCTACCATGCCTGGTAGTAATGTCTCCCCCGGCCATATCTAACTTAGAATGGACATCAAAATAATCTAGAGATGACCTTAATCATCTTCTGTCCCCGATCATTCTTCTAGAATCTTCAGATACTGATAACTGCATCTAGTACTATTTGTTTCAAGGTATTCTAGTCAGAAATATTTCCAGAACTCTGACTCTAATTTGATCCTGTGTTGTCACATGAACACAGTAAGGAAATTACACCTAAAGAAATATTCATAGGCACCATAAAGAAATTCAATAGTTAAGTCAACACACATTTTGCCCACTTTTAACCTAATCCACTTCATTGTTGGTTTTTATTAGATATTTCTTCCTTATTTCTGTCTTCTCTAAAGAGCAGAGTCAAGAGCCTGCTAGCTAGCAAGATCTGGTCTCAGAGTTTTCTGATGCCCAGAATTTTCACTTCCTAACCTGACCTTACCTACCGACATTACCACTTCACTCTCAACAATTTACCACCAATACTCAGACTCCAGGGACCCAAGTGTGTGCTTATTTTACATCGATCCATCTTCTGCTGTTACAGCTTCACTAACTCCACAGCCTTACTCTCCCCACCCGGGGTGTTCTCCCAGCCCTACCTCGACATGGCCAGTTTCCGCTTAGAGCCCACTGGGGGATTCATCCGGGGCTCTTCTTTCACCTTTGGGTCCTCTATCGCTTCTCTCTTCAGGATATCCTCTTCTTTCACACTCGCTCCATCCACCATCTGCTCCTCCTTTACGGTCTGATGAACAAACAACTCCTGTTTCAAGTTCTCCTGCTGGTCCTGCTCCTTCACGTCCACCCAGTCCATTACCTCTTCCTTCACCTTCACTTCCTCTTCCTTCACTTCGGGTTCACCCACCTTTTCTTCTTTTACCACCAAACCACCGTCCACCTCCTGCTTCACCTGCAGTATGCCTGCCGGCTCATCCTTCATGTCTGGCCCATCCTCCACTTCCTGCTTTATACAGCGCCCGTCCAACATGCCCCCATCTGAATCCGACCAGTCCACCACTTCTTGCTTCACAACCGTTAAGTCTATTTTGATCCCCTCCACATCCTCTGTCTTCTTCATTCCCGTCAGGCCATTCCTCTCCTCTCCTCCACCGGCCTCCAGACTCCCAGCTAAGTTCCTGATTCCCAGCCCTCCAGCCTCAGGACTCGGCCGCGCCCCCTCCAATACCCTCAGGAGACCTCCTCCGGGAGTCCCTTCCTGCCCAGCGACAAACTCCATCAGCTCACGATCCAAGCCGAGGCTGCCACTCTTCAGTGTAGCTGTACCACGCCGACAAGTAGAATCACCAGCGGAATACAGTCAGCAACACACGTGGGGAAACCAGGAGCCTGGAGACCAGGCGCCGGCAGGAGAACCTGGATTGCCGTAAAGCCAGCCTTCCGCTCACGACACTTCACGACCTGTACAGTTCTTTACGGCTCTGCGGCTCTACAGCCCCACGCTGGAAGAGAATTTGGTGAGGCCACGCCTACTGTCACTCCCGCCCTAGGCGGGATTTTGCCAAAGCTTTTCTCTGGCAGTTAGTTTCCTAGGTCCTAAGGCTGGTGTAGTGTCCTGGGAACTGAAATTATGATCTTGAAATTAGAAGACCCACTTTAATCTATTTTAAGGATTATAGCTAATATTGTATGATAACTTAGGACAGCCATGTCCCTCTGAGCTGATTCTTTATCCATGCACTAGGGATGACGGCTTTAGAAATCTCGGTGTTACTGTGAAGACTACATAACATCATGAGATTCATGAGAATCACCTAGCACTGAATTACACAAACTTAATATATGGTGGTTTTTATTACTACGATCCTGATAGGTCTGCTATGTTTCAGGCAGGAAATGGGGAGTTAACTCTTTAAAAAGTATCTTATTGATTCGTTTGAGACAAGGTCTTCCTGTTGGCCTGGGACTCGCCATATAGACCTGGATGGCCTCGATCTCACAAAGATCCGCTTGCCTCTGCCTCCCCAGTGCTGGGATTAAAGGCCTTGCAGAACAGATATAATTTTTTTTTCTTGGTCTTTTTGAAGCAGGGTCTTCCTGTAGCCCCAGCTGGACTGGAACTCGCTTGGTAGACCAGGCTGGCTTCAAACTCACAGAGATCAACCTACCTGTGCCCAAGGGCTGGGATTAAAGGCATGTACCACCACACCCATCATATATA